CCTGGGGGAAGCAGGGGACCGCCTCCTTTGCCCGCCGCTGTTGCGGCCGCGGGCTCCGCGGCAGGAGAACCTGCCGAGGCACTCGAGCGGCCACCTTCCCATGCATTCCACCAGCCACCCTCGTCGTCCCACCAGCGGGCGCCCTCCATTCCCCAACCCTCGCATCCGTTGCCGCCCCATCCGCCGCCCTCCCATCCGCGACTGCGGTCACTTCCGTCGCCGCCATCCTGCGCTTTTCCTCTCCATCCGCCAAGAGAATCTCCGCCGCCCCAGCCGCCACTGCGGTCACCTCCGCCGCCGTATCCGCCACTGCGGCCGCCCCAACCCCCACTTGTTCCCCAACCGCCGCCGCTGCTCTTTGAAGAATCCGCAACTGCGGCCCGTGTTTCCTCTTCCGCTTTGTCATCCCACCCTGCACGCATCTCTGCCCCGACTGCAGGCCGCGGAGGCGGGCGCGAGCCCGCCCAACCGCCGTGAAACCTACCGTCGGCGCGGGCTTGAGCCGAACGTGCATGGAGGAGGAGGATGAGGAGGAGGAGGGTGAATGTGAGGAGGATGATGCGTTCCTGGGAGGTGTGCCTTCGCGTGCAACACAAGAGCCCTGAGAATTCCTGAGGCCCCTCCAACAGCCAAGGACGCGGATGACAAGAAAGTCGAGAAGATTGGGAACCGATTGAGGATTAAGAGGCGTGCGACGAAAGGGATGATGATGACGAAGAGGAAGATCAGTGAAGGGGAGGAGCGGACAGGAATTATGGAGGAGTGATAGCAGAGGAGGAAGAGGGGGAAGGGGGAGGAGGAGGAGGAGGAGGAGGAGGGAGAGGAAAAGGGGGAGGAGGAGGAGGAGGAAGAAGGTGAGGAGGAGGAGGAGGAGGAGGAGGAAGAGGAGGAGGAGGAGGAGGAGGAGGAAGAGGAGGAGGACGACGACGACGAGGAGGAGGAGGAGGAGGAGAGGGAGAAGGAGAACGGGGACAGGAGGACAAGGACGGAGAAATATAACAAATGAGGGGGAGGAGGCGGAGGAGGAGGAGGACGAGGAGGAGAAGCAGGAAGAGGAGGAGGAGAGGGGGGAGGAAGAGTGCGCGTGAGACTGGGAGAACGAGGTAATTAATTAGAGAGGGAACGGGGGAGGAGGGAGGACAAGGAAGAGCATACAGCGACGAGAAGAGGAGAAGGAACAGACGAAGGCTCCTGCTGATCGCATTTCCGCATCGTTCAAAGCAGTGCCGGGGCACTGCTTTGAACGACTGGTGATGTTCAAAGCAGTTCCCCGGCACTGTGTTCCATCGTCGCCGTTATAAGGGCTATCGGATTACGTGTCGCCCCCCCGCCGGCCGCAACGCCGGGCGGCTGCAGGGGTGGCCCGCCGGACAGAGGAGTCTGGGCCGAAGCTGCGGCCCCGCCCTCCCCGTGACTGCGACGCCAGAGTGTGTCCCAGGCCGTGCACGGCGAAAGCACAGCCGAAAGCCGACCGAACCGACAGCGAAACGAAACCCAACCGAAATCGACAGGCCGAGAGCAGCCCTGACGGGCGCAGCGACGCGGCAACGGCACAGTACACCGACGAAGCTGAAACGACCGGACGCAACCGACGGGGACGCAACCGAACCGACCGAAGCATGAACACACTTGGTGTCCATGTCCCCTGCCGCGGCGCCGTGCCCCATGGACGCGGGTCGCGGCGGATGTGGTCACGGTCAGCGGGCCACAGGCCGCGGAAAAATATAGCGAACACTCATGCCGCATTCATCGGTCAACGCCTCCCCCTCCCCTCAATGTTCAAAGTTGGCGACGGGTCTGATGAGTTGCACATCGACCGCAGTCTCCTCCGCGTGCCAACTTTGAGTTTGGTGGGCAGGGGGGGTGATTACTAATTGTTTCCCTCTACCGTAACACAAGGAACGCAAACTCCAAGGCCCTGCAAACGGGGCGTTCGTAAACGGGTCGGTAGCTAAGGGTGCGTGTTCAATGGCGTTGTTAACGAGTTGGCTTGCCGCGCGCACAAGTGCGAGGCCCCCCCCCAGAGGTAAGGTATGATGATGTAGCGACGCTGTTGGCGCCCCGATGCATCACGCACTGAGGCGAGGTAAATGCCCTGTCACCCCTAGAGGCCTCCTAGATGGGGTCCGAGTAGATGGAGTCGGAGGATCACGCCGCATCGCCGATACATCGGCGATGCGTCGGCGATGCATCGGCGATGCATCGCCGACGTCGGCGACGCATCGGCAACGTCGGCGTGACGTAAACCGGGCCCCACGTCGAGCCGCATCGGCGATGCATCGGCGACGCGGCGCGATCCGCCGACCCCATCTACTCCGACCCCATCTAGGAGGCCTCTAGCACCGTTTTGTCATTGTCTTCTTACTCACTATTTTTTCTTATTCACTGTTTCCTATTCATGGTCTTGCCGATCGGCGCGGGCCCTCGTACCTCCCTCCTCCCCCTCCCAAAATGGAGTAACTAGATCTTGGCTGTTTGGGGCGCCGGACGCATTGTTGCAAACACCGCGTTCGGCAAAGGTCCAGCCAGACCCCCTTCCCTTCCCCCCCCTTGCGTCCGATATCCACACGCCCGATAAAAAAACGTTCACAACTGAATTGGGCGTCATCGTCTGCGTCGTCGTCGTCGCCGTCGTTGTCGTGGTCGGTCGTCGCCCTCGTCGTCGTCGCCGTCGTCGCCGTAGCCGTCGTCGTCGTTGGTGGTCGTCGTTGTCGTCGGTGGTCGTTCTCGCTTGAAGCGGCCCTCATAGCTGCCGCCCCGCGTACCAACGCCCCACTTGCAGGGGGCCTGGGGAAAAACCGCGGCAGGGACGGGGGGGGGCTCCCCGGCCGCGGTGGGCCTCGGCCACGCCACGGGTGCCCCTCCACCTGCTCCTCCTCCTCCTCCTCCTCCTCCTCCTCCTCCTCCTTCTCCTTCTCCTCCTCCTCCTCCTCCTCCTCCTCCTCCTCCTCCTCCTCCTCCTCCTTTCTGGGCCCCAAGTCACCCTTTTTGTCCAGCGTCTTGGCTGTACCTGCCCCCCGCTCCTGGGGAAGAGCCAGCAGGCACCGATACCGCTACGCCCCGGACCTCTCCTGGGGTGCGCTCTGACCAGAATCTCGCAGCGAAACCAGCGGTGGCGACAAGGGCCCCCCACGAGGCCCGAGGAGGGGAAAACTGGCGGGAGGGTAGAGGTAGGGGTACCTCTTCCTCCTCCGACCTAACCCCCACCCCGGGTCAGAGCTCCCCGGAGGCGGATGTGGACGTCTCTTGGCGGCGGACACGCGCCCGCCGGAGCTGCCTGCTCCGTGTCTGCGGGGCGGGAGAACCGCCCGCATCACTCCGGCGCGGGGCGCAGACGGGGGAAACTTCGACGCTTTCTGTCGACGCTCTCGCCAGAACCCAGAGGTTTCTATAAGCCTCGGGGTGCTGCTCCCCAGCGTAGAGAGAAAGAGAGCACGCTGCATAAGCAGAAACTTTTGGTGGCGCTCCGCGCGGACTTCTTGGATTCGCGCTGGGCCACCCTGCCTGGCGAGCGGAGCGCGCCTGCCAGGGGCGGCGCAGGAGGCACCGCCAGGGCCCCACCGCAGATCCAAGAAATCCGCGCGGGGCGCCAAAACTTTCTGCTTATGGCGTTTTTGTTCGACAGCAGCTGCGCATTGCCGAGGGCGCTCCTGGGGCGCCGGCATCACCCCCAAGGGCCGCCAGAGTTATATTGCTCCCATCGTACTTGAGGACCATATCCCAGAAATCATTTCGAGCACCCAGAAAAGCGTCGAAACAGTGTCTAACGAGTATCGGCCCCCTTAGGACCCGACACTTGAAAACCCTAAAGATTCGGTACTTTCCTGGTGCTCGAAATTCTTTCAGGTGACCCAGACCCTCGACGTCATGATTTTTTCATCACGTCAACCCCCAGAGTTCTCGACCCATTCCAGGGGACCGGTCTCTCATCCTGAATCGTTTTTTGACGGTCCCGAGGCCCGGTAAGGGCCCCCGGAGGCCGAAATCTAAGAAAAGCCTTCCGTCGTGAAGTTGCCATTCCTCGAGGGGGTCTGGTGGTCCGGGCCCAAGTGGGTCGGAACGCCATAACGCCAGAGGGCCCTGTAACGGCCCGAAGCCCCCACGGCGGCGCGCCGACGGGGGAAGCCAGAGGGTGCAGGCCGGCCTGCTCAGAGGGCGGCGGGGCTGCTCAGAGGCCCTCTGGCGTTCCGAGAGGCCCGCCGTGGCTTCGCGGGAGGCCGAAGGCCTGCTGAGCAGGCCCGCCCCCCATGGGCCTCCTCCCGAGGCGCGCCGCCGAGGCGAGGGCTGGAGAGGAGTCGGGAGCGAGCCGCGTGCCGATCCTTATGCTGAGGCTCCTCCCGCGGTGCCGCCCTGCCGTGGCGCCTCGGGGGCCGAAGCCGCGCGGGGGGGGCTTCTCGGAAGGCTGGAGGCCTGGCGTAAGCCTTCTGAGAAGAGGCCCGCCCCCTGCGCCTTCCCCCCCTGGGCGCGCCCTGTGACTGCGGCCGCAGACGCGGTGACGGCGGCGGCGGCGGCGGCGACGAAGGCGACGGCGGCGGTGGCAACAGCGACCGCGGCGGTGGCGGCGACGGCGGCGGTAACTGGAGGGAGAAAAGACAAGGCAAACTAAATCTGTGAGCCGCGCGGACCTCCAACAAAATACCTGCTCCTGCCGTGGCGTTTTCGTCCAACAGCAGCGACGGCGGCGGCGGCGACGGTGGCGGCGGCAACGACGACCGCGGCGGCAGCGGCAGCGCCGGCGACGGGGACGACAACGCCAGGCGGCGGCGGCAAGCACAGACCCCCGAGGTCATGACTTCTTCATGGCGTCGATCCCCCAGGGTTCGCGGCCCGTGCCCCAGGACTGGTTTCTCCTCCTGGGTAGTTTATTGACAGTCCCGAGGCCCGGCGAGGGACCCCGGAGGCCGAGAATAGCGAAAAGCCTCCCGCCAGGAGTGGTTCACTGCCCCACGGGGGGGTCTGGGCAGGCGGCGAAGCGGCGGCGACGCCCCCGGCCGGGCGGC